CCCCTGGGGGAGTGCGGAAGGGCTGCTGATGCCGGGTGCACAGCCTCAGCCTGGAGCTGTGCACTCGAGGCTGCATCCCCGGCCCTGCCTGAGCCTGCTGCCCACGCTGCTGGGAGCGATGGGCGGGCACATCCCATCCCCAACAGCCCTGTGGGTCCCCAGTTCCGCGGTGGGCAGACAGATCCAGGGGGTGCCCCCCACCGCAGCCAGGCCCTGCTTGCTGGGAGGGACTCTGGGGAGTAGGCAGGAGCAGGGGCCAGCCTTCCGGGGACTCCCCTGTCCCCACCCGGTCCCCCTTACCAGCCAGACAACTAGAGAGTAGTGTCCGCGGGCGGCGGCAGCATGCAGCGCGCTCATGCCGTCCAGGGCGCGCAGGTGCACGTCGGCGCCGCAGTCCTTCACCAGGAACTGGGCCAGGTGCAGGTGGCCCTCCTGGCAGGCCAGGTACAGCGGGGAGGCGCCACTGCGTGTCCGCCGGTTCACGCTGCTGTGGAGGGCGAGGTTCAGAGGGCGCTTGGCCAGGGGTCACAGGGGTGGGGGTGGGACTGATCCAGCTGAGGACCCAGATCGAGGGGAGGGAGGTCTGGCACTGGCCAGCTCCAGCTCCCTGACCCGCTGAGGGGTCCCAGCCAGTCACCTGTAGGCTTGCACAGGTTTCCCACCGCCCAAGGGAACCAGCTGAGGCCGGGGAAGTGGCGATGAGGGCTCTGGCTGCTGGAAACCAGCTCCGCCCATTCCTCATCCAGCTGTGTGCCTCAGGAGTTGGCCAGCAGGGGGCGCCTCAGGGTGACTAGCCCAGGGACCTGCAGTGGGCAGGTCAGTGAACTCAGAGCTGAGCCTACCCTGTAAAAGGGGACATTGTGAGCCGGACACTAGACATCCATCCCATCCATGGGCACCCGGGCCTGGCATTTGGGGCCGGTGTGAACGGACTGGAGCAGGTCCTGGGATTTCCCGAATCCCCTCTGCCTCCACCTGCTGCAGGGCCAGTGACTCGCTGCAGGGAGGGGCCACCCCCTACCCAAGGCCGACCCCTATCCCCTGGTGACACAGACGTCACCTTGGCTCCTGCAGTGGTGCCAAGTGGGATGTTGGCCTCTGGGGCACAGTCTTTCCCGTGTGTGTGTGTGTGTGTGTGTGTGTGTGTGGACGTGTGCGTGTGTATGTGCAAGTGCATGTGTGCATGTGTGTGCATATGTTTTAATGTGAAGTCTCTCAGTTTTCAAATGGCAGAAACTACTTTAAAAACTGCGGGTCTAAGAGACTCCGTGGCCAGCGTGGACACTCTGGGGAAGATCCACAAGGCAAGTCCCAAAGGCCTTCACCAAGGGGTGGGAACGGCGGGGAGGGGCAGGAATAAGAACGCTGTTCACTGCTGAGATGCAAGGTCTTGGGAACACATGTGGGGCCGTGGGGACAGCCAGGCTTGCCCATCCCTGTGTCCTGTCCCTGTGTGCCTGCCCACCAGCTGTTCTCTGCCCCTGGGTGCAGCCTCCCCAGGGGCCAGGCCCCCAGACTGCCGACAGGCGGCGCTCCAGCCCCTCACCTGCGGTGGGCAGCCGCCAGGAGCTTCAGGCAGGTCAGGTCCCCGCTGACAGCGGCGTGGTGCAGCGGCAGGGCCCCCTCCAGCGTCTCCAGCGTGGCTGCGTGGCCCTCTCGGAGCAGCCACTCCACCAGCACCGGGTGGGCGAAGCGGGCGGCCAGGTGGAGTGGGGAGACACCTGAGTCGTCTTGGTCCTACCGGGGCACAGGCAGGGTGGGGAATGGGTGGCAGGTCTGGACTCACCTCGCTGGGCAGAACCCATGGCCAGAGCCAGCCTGGGGTCCACCCTGCCAGGGACCCCGCCTGCTGGAAGCTTCTGTTCCCTCCTCTCCCCGCTGCTCCCTCCAAGGCCAGGGAGGCCCTTTCTTCTAAGTGAGGCGACCTGCTCAGGGTTAGAGGCAGGGCCAGGGCTCAAGTCCAGGTCTGGGTCAAAATCTGTGACCCTGCCCCATGCACAGTCAGAGCACAGCCATGCCCCTTCCCAATCTCTGCGAGCGGTCAGAAAGGCTTCCACTTGCCTACCAGTGCTGCACCAGGCTTGGCGGCCTCCTGACCTCGGCCCCACCCCACCCCACTGAGTGCCCACCCCCAGCACAGACCCTGGCCAGGAGCATTTCCACTGCAGGAGCCGCAGCCCGGGGCCTTCTCCCAGGCACAGCACGGACAGGCAGCACTCCGGCCGCTGCCCCTGGCGTTGGTGACTGGGCAGCCTCTGGCTGTGACCAGTGAGTCTTCCCTCTCCTGGGACCCAGTGGGTCCCCCATGCCCACTCGGCTCTGTCAGAGCTTTCTCACAGTCTTTCCTCACGAACGGGTATCGGACAGGCAGGAACAGGGCAAGGACGGGCCCTGGTAGAAATTCCCCCACAAGCTCGTCCTTGAACCCTGGAGACGTCTCTCTAGCATCAGGGCCACAGACTCGCTTGGGGCTCCCACTCCTGAGCCCAAGTGCCCACTGCGCGTGCCTGTGGGCCCTTTCTAGATCCCGAGAGACAGGCCCCCGGGACCAGGCCTGATGAGGACTGGCGGGACCCCCACCGGCAAGGCCAGGCGCTCCTGTGCGGGGAGGTGGGGGCGATGAGGAGACGAGGTGGTTTAGGAGGTAGCCTTGGCTTGCAAGGGCTTTGTGTTGCTGAGGGGTGGGGGGCGGGGGGGGGGGGGCGGCGAGGGCAGAGACACTGCACAGACTGAGCTGTGAGGTTTTCATGGTGAGTCCTTGACAGAAAGAGCCCAGGGCAGAGGACCGTCTAGCTCACAGCTCACTCCTCCCTCTATTCACAGGGACACTGCCTTCCGGGTTGCCCTCTGCTCACCTGCAGACCGCAGCCCCCTTCACGCACCAGCCAGCACAGCTCCGCCAGGCTGCCGGTGGCAGCTGCGTCGTGTACCGGGGTGGCCCCGTTGTGGGCCCGCTGGTTGCCGGGCAGTTTGGCCCGCTGCACCAGGAACTTGACACAGGCCAGGTGGCCGGCCCGGGTGGCGTGGTGCACCAGGCCAGCCCCCAGGGCATCGACGATGCCTGGGCCCAGGGTGCCAGCCTCCAGCAGCTGCTCCAAGGTGGCCAGGTCCCCGTCCCTGGCGGCCACGAGCGCCCGCTGCTCGTCCATCCTCCTGCCCAGCCACCCGCAGGCTCTCAGGGCTCACGCACAGGCCCGGGCTTCCTGTTTCAGGCGTGGACGCAGCTCCCAGCTCTGGTTACCCGATAAGCAGCCCACAGGGCAGATGGGAGGCGGCAGGGTGCAAGGGGCGGGGGCAGGCCTTGGGGATTGGGCCACAAGCCCTGCCTGAGCCACTCCCGCTGTGCTGAGTCGTGGTAGGGAGAGGGCACAGGGTACAGGGGAAGGGCTCACACCGTGTTGAGATCAGGGGCTGGGCACCGGCCAGTGGACACTGCCCCTCGCTGGGCCATGCCTCTTCCTCCCGTGGGGCGAGGGCCAAGGATATGTCTCAGGCTGGGATGAACTTCCCACATCCAGCCGCAGCTTAGTTGCAAGATCCTCTGAAGAAAGCAGCAGGCCCCCAGCGCCTGCTCCCCCAGCCCAGGCAGCAGCCCTGAGCCCGTGCTAGCCTAAGAAAGCCACTTGGGAGATTTGTCACGGGAGGGCAGACCCATCCACAATGGGGCCGTTCCAGGGAACTTACCACCAGGAGTGCTGGGGTCTATCGTCATGCAAGGAGTCTCCCCACCTGGAAACCTACGCTGGGTCCTGGCCCTCAGCTGACTATGCAGGGCCAGCATTGGGCACAGGGTGGACACTGGACAGGAAGACCCCAAGGGAGACTGAGGGTTTGGAGGCCCCACCTCAGCCCACCCACCAACCAGTGACCGAGTCTGAGGGGCTGGCTGCAGCTAACAGTCTCAGGTGCATATTTCAGAGCCACAAGGTGCACCTTCCAGACCTAGAGCTGGGCACCCACTGCCTCCCTGGAGGGGGACACTGCTCATCAGGGACCTGCCTTCCCAGGGCTTCCAGAGACAGTCTCAGGTGATTGTGTTATTTTTTTTAAAATTGATTTCAGAGAATAAGGGAGAGGGAGAGAGAGAAACATCAATGATGAGAATCATTGATCGACTGCCTCCTGCATGCCCCACCCTGGAGATGGAGCCTGCAACCAGGGCATGTGCCCTGACCGGGAATCAAACTGACCTCCTGGTTCATAGGTCAACACTCAACCACTGAGCCACGTCAGCCAGACTCAAGGTAAATGTCTTAAGCTGAAGGGGGACGACTCAGTGATGAGCTGGGGTTTCTGTATAAGCAGCTCATACTCTGGATCCCCAAGAGAAGTGTCCACAGGGAATACACCCCATACACGCACTGGAATATTTTATTAGTTTATTTAACCCAACAATTGTATCCTCAATGTCATCGTGTAGTTCTTTGCGCCTTAAAACTGCACATTAAAAGTGTGAATTAAAAAGTCGTTCCTATGTAAAGTCTGTGTGGACATGACATTTGAAGTGTACCAGAATCCCACAGAGCATTTGGGAGGACAGAATTCTTCTCCAGGTAAAATCAGCTGAGCAAGGGAGGAACTGGTTTCCACCTTGGGAACAACCCAGTCACATGGGCCTGGCCACCCCCAACTCAGTGTCCTGTGAGCTGAGACCCTGAGTAAGCGATCTGAGGGGAAAGGCAGGAGGGCCCTGTGGGCTCTGGGTGGGGAGGCTTGAGTCCTGAGTGACGGGCAGGGTTGGGAATGGGGGGACCTGGGCCTGGCCGTCTCGAAAGGGCTGCAAACACATACAGGGCGGCTGTGATTGCAGCAAAGACCAGGCTTCCTTTCCTATTTTCATGATAACAACAATCCTATATAATAAAATCCTAATATGCAAATCGACTGAATGGCAAAAGGACTGGTCGCTATGATGTGCACTGATCACCAGGGGGCAGATGCTCAACCCAGGAGCTGCCCCCTGGTGGTCAGTGCATTCTACCTGGGAGCACCGCTCAGCCAGAAGCCAGGCTCACAGCTGGTGAGCACAGCGCGGTGGCAGGAGCCTCTCCTGCCTCCGCTGTAAGCGGGTGGTAAGGAGCGAGGGGTCCTGGACTGCAAGAAGGCACAGGCCAGGCTGAGGGACTAGTCAATTATAAATACTAGGACTTTATCTTCCTGATAAAAATGCCACCTTCCATGAAGGGGATGCTCGCTTCCTAGGGGGAGTGTGGGCACAGCCAAAGCGTCTCCACTTCAACCCGTGCCACTGGGCAGCAGTGACAGCGATAGGCCCACGCAGGTGTGTGTGTCCCGGGCCCGTATGCCCAGGGGACCCGCTCCACACTGACCCACTTAGAGAGGGAGCTGCTGCCCACTCCGACTTTTAGGGAAGGTGACCCTGGCAAAGGCCTCGGGGGCTTCCTATGAGGTGGCCTCGACACTAGGCCTGGCCCTCCAGCCGGGCCACGGCCTGCTTCAGGTCCTGCACCACGAGGTCCACCTCGGCCCGGGTGGTGCTGCGGCCCACGCTGAGCCGAAGCGCGTTCCTGGCCACGTCAAAGGGGATGCCACAGCTCAGCAGCACCGGGGATGGCCTGCAGGGGCAAGAGACCAGCATTAGCGTCACAGAGAACAGACAGGGAAGGGCCCGGCCCCCTCTGCTCTTGGCCAGCTCCCCACCCCCTTGGCAGACATCCCCCGGCCACCCGTCTTCCAGGTCCAGCTCCAAAGCCTCCCTGGTTCTCCAGACCCCGGGGCCTCTCGTGCCGGAAAGTCCCGCACGGTCAGTCCTGTGGCTCTCCCAGCACAGAGCCTCAGCCCCGGAGCACGGACAGCCCCCAGTTCTAACATGCAGGGTTTCCAGGGCTCGGAGACATGCAGACAGAGACACAGAGAGACACACACACACACACACACACACACACACGGTGGAGCGTCTTGCATCCACAGTGCTGGAGGCTGTGGCGTACCCAAGTGTTTAGGGGTTCACAGCACACAGCACAAGGCTTTCTGCACATGGGTCCGGCCTATATTGATGGACGGAGGCAGTTCTGAAGCTGGGTGTGTGAGGCTTGCGGGGGTCCTCAAACCCTCAAGCAGGCTCCGCCTTCGTAGGCCGCCTACAGGCCAGGGGCCCAGCAGCAAGGCAGCGTGGGCTGCTGGACTTCAGCGCCTGAAACCCCAGATCCAGGCCATCGTGTACGGGCCAGGCAACGGGTGATTCATCACCTCCAGTCACCCAGCCTCAGAGCCAGAGATCTCTGCAGCCGATCCTGTCACAGCTGAGAGGAGGACCACGCTGGGCAGTGACAGCACAGCTCTCCCTGGCTGGGTGACCTCACTTCTGTTCCAGGAGGCACCACCACAGGGCCCCACCTCTACCCACAGGGCAGTGGGCACCTGCCTCCACCCTCTTCCCCTCCCACCCACCCAGGGGCTACACGGGACACCTGTGCCTTCTGAGCTGTGCTGTCAGCCCCTCCTCGTCCCTTCCACCCCCACCTCTGTGGCTGTCAAGACTGCAGGCTGCAGCTGCCGGCTTGGCCACCTGTCTCAGTTTCCTCATCTTAGAAATAGGCTTCTCAGATCACCCCCCGAGGGTCATAGTGAGCATTCCCTGAGCAGTGGCCCCTGAAAGCTTGGTGAGGAACTCTCCCATGAGCCCTTTTCTGTGGCCAGGCTGGCCTGGCCTCGCTGCTCCTGACCTGTAGTCCATCCGGTTGCCACATAGGGCTCCTGGCCCCACTGCCCACCCCTCCCCACCCCTGCCAGACTGTGAGAGCTGCTGGTCAAGCCTGGGCCCTGCGTCAGGCTGCAGCTCCTGCCCTGCCCTCCTGAGGCCCGCACAGGGTCGCTTCCTGTGTCCCACCAGGCTGCACAGCTCTGTGATGCGTCCTGGAGAGCACTTACCGGTCCCCGTGGTCTGAGTGGCACGCAGCCCCCACGCTGGCCAGCAGCGTCCTGCATTGCGCCAGCACCGAGCAGCCTGAGGAGACAGAGCACAGGTCCCCTGAGGCCGAGGGTCCTGGTGGGGACCCTCCCTGTGCACCCCCGTCTCCCTCCCCCCCTCCCCCCACCCCGCAACCCAGCAGAGGTGAGAGAAACCGCAGAGGGACCAGGCATCCTCTCCCTGGCTGTGGAGAAGCAGGCATTGCTCTGCTCATAAAACTGTCCTCAGAAATGTCGTTCCCACCATGCCTAGTAAGACACCGGGATTCTGATTAGTGGCCACACTTAGTAAGTTGTTGTCCTGGCAATAAGTTAGACTTAACCTGCGTTTTCTAAAGGTAAGACACTAGGCAGCTGCCTTCATGAAGCCCGAGGGCCCCCTCTTCTTCCACAGGTGGAGACGACAATAGTAACAAGAATCTCTGTTCCGTTCACGTTAACACAGGTTGTCAGTGATACGAAGTCTGCCCCCGGAGAAGCGAGAAAGGAGACAGGAACAGAGCTTCCCACAGTGACCAAGCCTGGAGATGCAGCCACACGCCCATCTGCCCCGCCCCACTGAGAAGGCAGCGCAGCCCAGGGTCTCATTAATGCAGCCGCGATGCTGCCCGTTCTCTGTGACCCAGGACGACAAAGCAACAAGGATCTCTCCTCCCAAGAAGCGAATGTGCGCTGTAGCTGTGGCTCCCTCGGGCCCGCCCCCTCTCCCAGTGAAGCACAGCAGGTCACCCCGGGACTGGCTCAGGGACTCAGGACAGCTATTTTCCCTGAATGGGGCAGCGTCTCAAGAACAAGGGAAACCCCTGGATTTGCACTTTCCCCACTCACAGCCAGTTTTTAAAGGTGAGCTACTCTCCCTTACCTTCATAAAACATCTTGTAAAATTTGCTGGCAAAAAAGGATCAACTAGCCTAAAACGTAGTTCATGTTTTCCCCTTCCCGAACCGCTTTAGCTGGGCGTGAAGACTGCTGAGCACCCGCACGCCCTCCTCCTGGGCCTGGAGCGCCAAGCAGTCAGGGAGGCAGGACGGCGACAGCCCAGGCCACCTGGGACAGGACAGCTGCTGTGCCCTAAGCAAGCGGCCCACAGCCCAGCCCAGCCCAGCCCCCGCGCCCTGGAGACCAGGAGGCTGTCATCACCTTGGAGCTGGGGTCCCCGGAAGGAGAAGTTACAAGTGTTGGAGAGCCGCTCAGTCCCCGGAAACTGGCTGTTCAGATGGATTTTCTTCTCACCGAATTCAGCCTGGAGAGCGATGAAATGTTCAGTTGTTCAGTGAGGGCTCCAAAGTCCCGCCCCGTCCCTCCCTCCCCCCAACCACCTGCTTGACCTTTAGACTTTCCGGGGAAACAAAACCTCAACCTCAACACATCAGATAATTCTCACTGGGTAGCACCTACCTAGACTGGCTACGGAAACAAAGCCAACAAGGAGATAAACTCCTGACACACATGAACCTTCTACACTGGTCACTAAAGGCACCATCTCTGGTGCATCTGTCTTGAGTCTGGAAAACAACCCACTGATGGGTCCCTCTCTGGGGCTCTGACTCTGGCTCCTGTCTCATGACCTACTCCCGGGGCTGAGAGTCCCCGTTCTCACTGCCCACGGGCAGGAGATGAGGCCCAAAAGACACCCACTCCCCTGGGCTGACGGGATGCTCACCGCCAGTCTCTCCTCCAGGTAGTCTCGGACGTCCCTCATGTGGGCCTCGTAAGCCTCGCAGTTCTCTGCCACCAGCTCAGCAGCCTAGGGACACGGATGGCGTCCACTTATTGCAAAGCAAAGGACCACAAAGCTTTACGGAGCAGAGGGATGATTGCTGGTGATTGACGGGGCATTTCCTCAAACTGCTCATTTCTGGAACTGCAGACAGTACTCGTGGGCTGACTGGCAGTTGAGGTAAGTGCCTAGAGTGTCACCGCACTTGATCCACAGGAATTTACTTGACCAGGCACCTCCTGAAACTGCCACGCACCAGAGCTGCCGCAGCCCATAGGGCAGGAAGAACATCAGCCCTCACAGCACGTCCTACTGTTCCAGAGAAGGAGGGGCGGACGGACACACAGGGACAGGTGGGCAGGGGTGTGGCGATGGCGTGCAGAGTCGGGAAGGGGCAGCCACCAAGGTCCAAGACCAGGGGGTAGGTGAGTGCTCCCGGAGCAGAGTGAGCAGTGTCAGGGACCGAGGCCCCATGACAGGTGGGACCTGAGCCCAAGTCACAGGGCAAAGGATTCTGGGAGGGGAATCCGACCTGCAGGGTCACCCACCACTCAGTGTGTGGAGAAGGGAAGAGGCTGGCAGGTGTCAGCAAAGGACAGGGATGACCTGGTCAAGTGGCGGTGGCCATGGAAACTGACAAGAGGCACATCCTCACTATTATCGTGGAGACTAAAGACAGGTCTGGCTGCTGCCTCAGGCGCGGGGGGGGGGGGGGGGGAGGGTAAGAGCAAGGTCAAGGGCACCGCCTAGATTCCATTAGTGAGGGCGTAGATGGCGGGAGGCTCCACAGGGAGAGGGGGATGATGGAGGAGAGAGTGGGATACATCGAGGACCCTTGGAATTTCCCTGGTGACAGGAGTATCTTTTGTTCTAATGAGGCCTCACTGGGTGGCTGCTGAGTGGGGGACCGGTCACCAAAAGACCAGGCCATTTCAGGAGCCTGGATTTTCAACCCCACCCCCCATTCTCCAGAGAGGACCGGCTGGACAGGGAGTTAAAGACCCACTGAAGCCCATAAAACCCTGAGTACGGGGTTGGGAGAGCTTCAGGGTGGGTAGACACGTGGGGCGCTGGGGGTGGAAGCCCCGGCCTTCCTCTGCATCTCTTCCCCTGGGAGGTTCCCCTGGATCCTCCATCACATCCTTTTATGATAAACCAGCGATCTGAGTTCTGTGAGCCCCTCGAGCAAATTAACTGAATGGGGGGTGGTTAGGGGAACCTCCAATTTATAGCCCGTTGGTCAGAAGCCCGGGTGACAACCTGGACTTGGGACCAGAGTCTGAAGTGTGGGATCTCCTGGGACTGAGCCCGTCTGTGGACTGAGCTACCTCTGGGCAGTGTCAGAACTGAGTCACACTCAGGACAGCCAGCGGGGGTCCCAGAGAACCGCTGGGGTCAGAGTGCAGTGAGTGCGGCAGCCGCGTGAGAGGAAGGCTGTTTCCCACCACCTGTCCAGGGTCACAGGCTTACCTTCCCGAGGCCAGCGATCATCGGGGTGTTCTCCGTCCTGTAAGATAGGGAGTCAATCCTATTTCTATGCAAACCAACCGACAAATGTCCCAGGAAGGAGTCCTGTTTATGTGAGAGTCGTGTGTTCAAACAAAGACAAAAATCACACCAACACCCTTTCTAAACACGCGCCACACAGGCCCCCAGCCCTCGTGCAGGCTACTGTCTGCCCAGCAGCGGCAGCGACAGGCCCCCGGGTCCTGCACCGGGTCCTTGGTGTTGAGGTAAGTGCCTGGAGTGTCACTGGACCAGGGCAACCACCGTCCTCCCGCTGCAGACCCACAGGCCCCTCTGTGGTCCCCACTGCAACGGGCGGGGTCTGAGAGCTCTTCCTCACTGTTCCCTCGGCCGAGGCTCAGCGACGCCTCCCCACCATGGATGGGACGAACCGTCACTAGAGGGTTGGGGCAGAGAAGGCGTTGCCAAGTCCTAGGCCCAGGCAATTTTTTTCCGTTTTTGTTTCCCCCCAAAAATGTCAGCTTTATGTTTTACGTAAGTTGAGGATCTATTCTGAGGTCATGCTGGGTAAGGCGTGGGACAGGTGGAGGCGCGCTGCTGGCCTCGACGGACATTACTGCAGCCCCAGGCGAGGGTGGGCTGTCTGTCCCCCACAAAACTGCTTTCCGCTCTAACTGGTTTGGCTCAGAGGATAGAGAGTCGGCTTGCGGACTCAAGGGTCCCAGGTTCGATTCTGGTCAAGGGCATGTACCTTGGCTGAGGGCACATCCCCAGTAGGGGGCGTGTAGAAGGCAGCTGATTGATGTTTCTCACTCATCGATGTTTCTAACTCTCTATCCCTCTCCCTTCCTCTCTGTAAAAAATCAATAAAATATATTTAAAAAAACAAAACTGCTTTCCCATCTCTGCCAAAAGTCATGGGGCATATGTCTAGTTGTGTCTATTTTGTTCCAATGGTATCCTTGCTGGGATTGGATAAACAGGAATTGTATATGAATTTGGGGAGAACTGACATCTTTACTATATTGAGTCTTTTGACCCATGACCGAGGTGCATAGCTCCATTTACTTCGATTTTGCTTTCTTTCACTGGCACCATGCTGTTTTCAGCATGAATGTCCAGTACAGATTGTGTTACAATTACATCTGAGTATTCTGAGTGATTGCAAATGGTACTGTAGCTTTTATTTGGTTGCCCATATGTTCACTCCCAGTGCAGAGAACACAAGCCCTTTCTTTCCAATGTCCCAAGGTTCCTCCTGTTTCCCTTCTGCTTAGAGAATGCCCATGAGTCCTTTAAGCACAGGCGTCCAGAGGCAAATTCTACCAGTTTCCCTTCATCTGAGAACCTCTTAACTTCCCTCTGAGCCTGTGGGACACGTGTGCTGGGCAGGATTCTGGCCAACAGTTCTGAGCACCTGCCAAATGTACAGCCATTTCCTTCTGGCCTCGTGGCTTCTGGCGGGAAATCCACTGTCACTGAAACTAATTTTCCCCCCTAGGTAAGGTGTCAGTTTTGCCCTTGGCCAATTTCAAGATGTTTCTTTGTCTTTCATTTTCAGAAGCTTGACCATATATTGTGACATGGATTTCTTTCATATGTCCTGTTTGGGATTTGTTCAGTTTCCTAAATCTGCAAGCTATGTCTCTTGCCAAACTTGGGAATTCTTCAGCCATTATTTCAAGTGCTTTTCAGCCCCCTCTTGCTATTCTCCTGGGACTTCACAGAAATGCACTGGGATCCTCTGTTATAGTCACACGGGTCCCTGAGACTCTTCGATTTCTTTTCTGTTGTTTAGATTGGATAATTCTACTTATTCTTCTATCTTTCAGTGTTTACTGATTCCTTCCTCTGTTCCTCCATTCTGCTGTTGAGCCCATCAGCTGAACTTTTATTCTCATTATTGTAGTTTTGGTCTAGTTTCCACTTTACATCTTTTTCTTTGCTGACACTTCCTCTGTTCTGTTCAGTTTCCCTGACGCATTTTCACCGTGTCTGATTTACAGTCTTCACCGGAAAATTCCAACACCTTTGTCATCTCCGTGTTGGCAGCTATTGAAAACTCTTCTCAAGATGCTGCCTGGCCCATCTCGCTCCCCGGCTGCAATGGCCTGTGCGTCTCGGGGACCCAGGGGCAGCAGGAAGGAGCCAGGGGTTTGCGTACCGCTCACCTGCAGGCAGAACAGCAGCCGTCGGCCAGCGGGGCTTCGCAGCACCTGTGCAGTGGCCGAGCCAGAGTGACAGGGGAACTGATGCTTTGTTGTTAGTCCTCACCTGAGGATATTTTTATCCACTGATATTTTTAGAGAGAGTGGAAGGGGGCAGGAGAGACAGACACATCGATTGGGGCCAGGGATCAAACCTGAAAGCCAAATACATGTCCTTGATGGGAATCGAACCTGCAACCCTTTGGTGTGCGGGCTGACGCTCCAACCACTGAGCAATGCTGGCCAGGGCAAGGCACCAACACTTTGAAGAAACAGAGATGTCCTTCATCTCCAAAAGCCTGCGGGTCTGTGAGTGCTGAATGGGGGCTCGGAGGGAGAGCAGGGCTGGCTCAGCAGTGAGGGGGCTGTGCGGTCCCTGTGCGGCGGGAGACAGAGAGAGCCAGCCCTGGGGGTGCACCCCGCCAGCAGCCAGAGCCTCGCTAACCTCCATCTTACCCCGGCCTGAAATTCCGTTCTTGTCCGCCTCCGAACAGCATGGGGTACAGAGGGGTCAGTTCCCCGAGCCCTCGGACGTAAAGTGCTCCGATCCTGGGGCCATAGAACTGAAAGGAGAAGGCGGTCATTATAAGCAAGGACCTTCCCAGGATGAAAACTGATCGCTGAGGCACAGAGACACTGCAACGTGCAGGCCCGCAGCTGTGCCTCGTCACCGCTCCGCACACGCTGGAGTCACAGAAGCCTTCGGGAGGCGGGCAGGCTGGACTGGAGTCCCAGCTGTGTGGTGATGGACTTCCCCCGATCCCCAGCCCATGTGGTTGCCTTTGTGAAAGGACAGGGCTGGAACTAGAGATCACCGAGGGCTATTTCTGGGTGTGAGTCCATGTTTTCTTATAGAAATCACATAAGAGCTTTGGTGCCGTGGTGCCAGGCCGGCCGCTCGGCCTCTGGAGCCCAGCGAGCCCTGAGCCGCAGAACCAAGCACGGGAGGCCCAGGCCCACTGCACTGCCAAGGTCTTCGCAGTGAGCCAGGCCCCCTCTCTGCCTTAAAGCTGCATCACTAAACTAAACCTTTACTTTCAGGAGCCTCACTTTAAACCACGTGAGAGAAAGCAACACTTTCTTGAAGCCCGCATCGCTGTCCTTGTGAGGAGAGTTGAGTGGGCTGACAAGGGTCTGCTGACACTCCCTGCTGCAGAGAATACATACCACCTGGCTAACCCACCTGCGTCTTCCTCACCTGAGCCCTCAGTGCCCTCCCACAGCCTTGCCTAGCTGGCCCCTCCAGCCCCTATGGGTTGGGTGCCCCATTATCCCAGCCATGGCACTCGTCAAATGACACGCTAGCTGTCACTGGCCCCCTTCTGTAAGCTCCTCTGAGCGGTGAGTTGCTGTCACCACGTCCCAGGGCCCAGCTCTCAGTGGGCCCTCAGGTGCCCTGGGTGACAGGTGATGGTAAACAGTGAGCCTCCAGGTCATGGAGCCATGTTCCCCCAGGAGGGAAGCAGGCCTCTGCGTGCGCACCTTGTGCCCCACAATCGTCAGGAAGTCCACGCCCAGGTCCTCCACATCCACGCGCCTCTTCCCCAGGGCCTGCGCGGCATCTGTGTGCAGGAGAACGGCAGGCAGCCCGGACGCCGCCCGCTCCTGGTTCAGGGCTTTAACTCGCCGGCTGATCTCAGGGATGGGCTGACGGGGGAAAAATCAACAGTTGGGTATGTGGCTTGGATTTGATGAAAACTGAATGGAAGAAGTAAGGAGACACTAACAGGGACAGACCAACAACACTACAGAATTGAAAGCAGAGGAAGAGGCCCAGCCGAGCGGATGGATGGACCGGCGGGGCTGACCACCCCCTTCCCATCGGGTCTGCGTAAAAGGGAAGAGCGACTCACCATGATGACGCCCGTCTCGTTATTCGCCAGCATGATGGTCACAAGGCACGTGGCCGGGCGGACAGCCGCCAGGACGTCGTCAGCCTCTGCCTGCCCGTTCACCGTGGACACGGGGACGAAGGTGACCGCTGAGCATAAGACACAAGTACCGAGGTTAGGAACCCTCCCTTTTCAGTTCACTTTGATACAGCTCCACAAACACATTTTCCACGGTGACAAATGTAATTTACTGTAAACATTCTGAAAACTATAAAGAAGGAATTGTCATCCCACCAGAGGTGATCGACTTGAACGCTTCCTTACTGAAGCTTCAGTTGGTGGGTTCACTCTGTGGAAGGTCTCCTTTCTGCATCTCAGGGACCCACGAACTTGACCTCCACACACTCAGCGCTGAGCCAGCGCTCATTCCCGGCACTCACTGCACAGGGAAAACAGTGGGGTGACTAAATAGAGGGTTTGGGTTGAAAAGCAAACACAAACATGAACACACCTGGAAACACTTAGTAGTTGGTGCCTTGGTTTCTGGGATGAGAGCTCGTGTGGTGGAGAAAAGCGCGTGGAAGCCTCCAACACCGCCCGCCCCCTGCAGCCAAGACAGTAAATCCAATCAAGGCTGCGTCACAGGGGAGCGAGGGCGATCGCTGCCGCCTTTTAGGGCCTGACACAGGCAAGGATGGGGGCTCCTGTGATGTCCATGGCTAACTCATCAGTCTGACCCTTACAAAAACCAGGACTGCGGACGAGGATAGTAGGCCACACACATTCAAGCAGTTATAAGCCTTATTTAAGACTGTTCTTCCTGACGTGGTGTCTTTGCTAAAGCAGACTGAGCTGGCCTCAGGTAGAGGCAGCCACTGATCTGGGAATCTGGGAAGTGATTTCCCCACCCACATCAGAAAAGAGGCTCAGAAACACCTGGCACTCACTCGGAGGGGACAGCAGGAGGCATTTATAGCACTGTCCCAGGGCTATGGCAACGCATCTGTCTCTGTCGCAATGTATTTCAAAGGAACCTGGGCCATCTGGACATTTAGAACATAATACTGATTATAAAAACAAAACAAAAAACAACAAAAGACAAACACACCCCTTTGCCCCTCAAGGTCCCTCAAAAACAAGAGAACAGACATATTTCTAAGTAAGAGGTGTCACCTATGGGTAAGGGATGTTGAGGAATCCCCAGGAAGAAGACAGAAAGACAATGGCATTAGACTAATAGGAATAGGATAAACAAACTCAGAACATTAATGTATGAATGGATCCAGTGACCATCCAAGTTCAGGGTGCACAGCGCGGAGAGCTGGGCGGGGCTGATGACTGAGGCAGGCAGAGGATTGGTTCTGGTGTCCGAGCACCCCTGCCTTGCACCCAGCAAGTGGGTGGCACCACATGCCCAAGACAGGAGGGGCAGGTCCAGGGCCTCCAGGACAGGGAGGGCCCGAGAGAAGGGGAAGAACTCACACATCTGCTATAGGACACGGACAGGAGGCAAAAGGAGGGCAGCCTGGCCAGGACTGTCTTTTCATGAAGAAGATGCTCAACAGCAATAGCCACAGGGAAATGCAAGTCAAAACCACAACGAGCTTCCACTTCACACCCACTAAGATGGCTATAACCTATAATAATAAAGCCGGGGCTGCAAGGGAAGCCCAGGTCCCGGGTGCCAGAGGGAAGCCGGTGCCGGCAGCCGGGGAAAGGAAGGCCTACTTTTGCACAAATTTCGTGCATCGGGCCTCTGGTAAACAATAAAGCCCTTGCTGGTGTGGCTGAGTTGGTTGGGCATGGTCCTGTGCACTGAAAGGTTGCCAGTTCGATTCCTGGTCAGGGCACATGACTGGGTTGCGCGCTCGATCCCCAGTAGGGGCTGTGTGGGAGGCAGCCAATTGATATTATGCTTTCACATCTATGTTTCTGTCTCTCCCTCTCTCTTCCTCTCTCAAAAAAGTAAATAAAAGCAAATAAATAAATAAATAAAACAGACAGTAACAAATGTTGATGAGAATATAGAGAAATTGGAACCCTTGAGACTACTGGTGAGAATGCAAAATGGTGCAGCTACTTTGGAAACAAAGGTTAAGGATAAACACAGTTAGCAGAGACCCAGCTGTCCCACTCCTAGGTACAAACCCAAGAGAATGAAAAGGTGTCCACAAACACAAATGCTCATACTGGCATTATCATAATGACAAATGTTCTTTAACTGATGAATAGATGAATAAAATGAGAATATTATTCACATAAAATGAGATTTACTCATCCACAAAAAGGAATTAAATGCTGGCACATGCTACAATGTGGATGAACCATAATGTTTTTATGCTGAGAGAAGCCAGGCACAAAAGACCACGTATTATTACGATCCCATTTCTATGAAAGTCCAGATCAGGGAGCCTCTAGAGACAGAATGCAGGTTAGTGGATACTTGGGCTGAGGGCCTCTATAGCATGTGAATGACATCTCCATAAAGCTGATTTATAAAGAAAGCAATTGGCCTGGCTGTCATGGCTCAGTGGTTGAGCATCAACCTATGAACCAGGAGGTCACAGTTCAATTCCCCTGTCAGGGCACATGACTGGGTTGTGGGCTCAATCCCAGTGTGGAGCGTGCAGGAGGCAGCCGATCGATGATTCTCTCTCATCATTGGTGTTTCTATCTCTCTCTCTCCCTCTCTGAAATCAATATACATATACATATACATATACATATACATATACATATACATATACATATGTAAAGAAAGCAATTGGGAGAGGTGGAGGGGGTATGGAATGGTCAAAATCCTCATTTTATATGGGGGTGGGGATATCAGCAAACATGCTTGAGCTGAAATGGAGATTATGTTTGTAAGTGATTAAGTATTAAGGTGGAAGTAATTAAAATAAAATGTGAACCACAAGAGAAACTCCAGGTGGGCTACAGCAGGACAGGACTGGGGGTCACTTTACTTTGTACTTTACACCTTTCTATAAAGTGTCAATTGTTTCTATCATGAACATGTTTACACTTTGTAAACATTTGTGTAACTTATGTAGATAAGAGGGTAAAGGCAACAGTAACTGATAACAATGTATACTAAATTGCCCTTCCTTGTGTAAGACAGAAAAAAGGCAGCAGGGATATGAGGAACTGCAACCTAAGACAAAGGTTAGACCTGACCTTCCTTCCTCTCCCCCTTAATTAAACTGGTGCATTCCGGTAAGACCAGGAGGAGGAAAACTTTTCCAGCCTTCACACAGGAAAACCAACGCAAAGGCTTCCTGGTATACCCCAGCAGTTCCGTTACAGCCCTTCATCTCTGGGATAGAACTGCTTTCCCAGATCCGCCGTTAGGTTTCCAGGCAGATTCAATAGGAGAGCTGACACGGAGAAGAAATCACTTCTTATGTAAAGGAGACTTAACCATGGCTGTCTTGGGGCGGGGGAGGGGGGGGAGGGAAAGGCTCTTACGTTTTCAAGTGAGTGGTCTTAACCTGGTATCACAGGAAAAGTGAAAGAAGGACCAGTTCCTTCTGTGTGATAATGACAGGGCCATCATCACTGCAGGCTAAGCCTGACTCATCCCTCGGACCGCCTGGCACTGCTCTGGGGAAGGCCGGGCCCCCTGCCCCAGCCTCACTGAGAGCCCCTGATTCTGACCCCCTGAAGGGGATGCCTATTTGATCCTTTTTCATATCAGAGGAGTGGAAGCCAAAATTTAATTTATTAAAATCAAACAATAAAAAGCACCATTTAGCATTTTATAAACATGTTATTTAAAAATTTATTGTATACAAGAGTCTGAAACATCACCTGCATATACCCGATTGTCATTTTTTAAGGGAAAACCTCATGGCATCTACTGACACCCAGGTGGCAGCCTGGAGGGACAGGCTGTATCCCCTACACGAGGACAGCCAGGAAGCCCGAGCACAGGAGGGTGATGGCTCACCATGTCCCCGGGGCCCCTCCCCACTGAATCAGCCAGTTGGGTCAGCAGAGCTGTCCCTGCTGGTCTAGGCTGGGTACTCACCGGCCACTTGCTCCTCCACCATGTGTTCCAGAGGCAGACGGATGGAGTCATGCTCCACAGTGCAGGTGATGATATGGGGCATGGTCCCCTCCACTGGGCTGTGCCACTTGGCTGTGTCCCCCTTTGAGGTGTGGATGGTTTGGAAATGCCTCACCACGGAGTGGATCACCAAATTATTGGACTGCAGAGACATGCAAACAACCACTTACAGAAACTGTCCTGAGGGGAGAATGGGGACAGCAACCTCTCCCATTGGGATTTCTTCATGGCTAACATTTAAGACAGAAAGAAAAAGTCAATTCCTCAGCTGCGCCCTTTGAAAGGCCCCACTGCAAAGATTTGAGGGTTTCAAACTTTCAAAAACCTCAGAACTCATTTCTGGTCAATTATACCTGCTTTGCATGTTTATGTCTGCATAAGCAACTTACGCACTTTTAAAACTTAAAATCTTCAAAAAAGACTCTTTTTCCCAGGCCCGTTGCTGGTGGAAGGTGAGCCAGCACCTCCATTCAGGGCCCTTTGGCATCTCTATCAGTACACCCTTTGACTCAGAGAGTCTATCATGGACTTGGTCCGACAGCTGCACTTGTACAGAAGCAAGATGATGGATGTAAAAGACTATTTACTATAGTGCTGTTTGTAACAGTAAAAGCTGGGGAGCCCTTCCATGTGTATCAATAACCGGACTTGTTAAATAAATTATGCAACATTATTCAACGGAACACGAGCAGATGTAAAAACACCAAGGGAACGCTCTGTGGCTGATACCAAAAGAGCAACACACTTGCTAAATGTAAAGAGGTAGCTGACGTTATACACAGTATCCCACAAACTATACAGATTTGCTTGTATGTGCACAAAATCCCTGAACAGGTACAAAGGGAAGGAGAAAAGGCTACATAAATCCACTTGTCTATTTGCATTTTACCCACAGATTATCTCTGGAAGACACAAAGCTACCAGTGTTGGTCTCCTGGAGAGAGAAATGGACAGCAGGGGAGTGGGGATGGGCTTGTGCCCTGACAGGGAATTGAACGGGTGACCTCCTGGTTCACAGGCTGATGTTCAACCACCGAGCAACACCAGCTGGGCACTCTTCTGTTTCTTGTTAAAACTGCAGCTGAAATACCTGGATTCCTGGTTGGGGCACATGCCCAGGTTGCGGGCTTGATTCCCAGCAGGGGGCATGTGGGAGGCAGCCGACTGATGATTCTCTCTCATCACTGATGTTTCTATCTCTCTCTCCCTGTCTCTTCCTCTCTCTGAAATCAATAAAAACATATTTTTAAGAAACAAAAAAACTGCAGCTGAAAGGATGAGACTTTAGAAAGCTTACCTCGGTGCCCCCGGAAGTGAAGATGATGTCTTGAGCCTTCCCGCCTATCATTTTTGCAAGGTTTTCTCGAGCTGCATCGATAATATCCTTGGCCTTCCTACCTTGAGGGACCAAAATGGACATTCATTAACGTCACTTCATCAAGTGCGGGTGACATGTTTAAAGAATGACTAGCCACGAAGGAGCGAGGGGTCTGAGTGGGTAATTCTAAAACGAGACATGCCCCGCCTGCGTAATCACAATACGTGTACCACCTAGAGACAACCCGGTGCAAGGGCAGCAGTGAGGCACTGGTGAGTCAGGGACCGCCACTGCGATCCCAGGAAGCGAGTGAGGGCCAGAAACAAAGATGGGAGGAAGCCTGGGAACTGAAATTCCCTGCGACATGCTTTTCGTCTTACAGGCGCTAGAGGACAGGGAGGCCGTGGCCATCGCTTTGCCTCCCGCTCATCCAGGCAGGAGAATGAAAGGATGGGAAGGCCCAAGGTCACGCTGCAAAACAACAAAAATAAGCAGAACTAGAACTCATGAGCCCTCAGCACAAAGTCCAATGCCCTACCTCACAGTGCAGGTCCCCAGGTTACTAGGAGGTCCCTGCCTCAGGGAAGCACCTGCTTTCAAGCAGGGCCATGCAGCCCAGCTGCCTCCCAGGTTCACTGGCTCCCAGGAAACCAGGACCAAGCGTCAGGAGGCACAGAAAGGAAGGCTCCAGGATGGGAATTCTAAAAACTGCAATGACCATTCTTACTTAAGTAGTCTATAGACCAGCAGTCTCCAAACTTTTTTGACTATTCAGTCCTATTGGGAAAAACAAACAAACAAACAAAACTTGAACAGATATATAGTGTCCCCCAAAATGAAATCCCATAAAGGCAGTGTTTATTAAAATACATTTCATTTTCAAAATTGAGCTATCAGCTGGGTTAACACTGTCACTTCTCTGCTCAGAACTCGCCATCTTAGTCAGGTGGGAGCCAGGCCCACACAGTGGCATCCACAGCCCTATGTGGCACTTTCCCCGGGACCCCCATGCCCACCCACTCACACCCCTTCTGTCACCTGTATATTCCCTGTAGCTGCAGTGCGTCCTGTTCGTCTCTGTGCAAATGCCATACCGTCAGAGATCCGGCCATCCTGCACAAAGGCAGCACCCTCTGCCCCGCCCAGCAGGCCCGGGCCCATCCTGTCTCACAGGGCCACAGCCTGTTCACTTAACACACTTGCATTTGTCAGTTCACGGTCTGCCCCCCTCACTAGAATGGAAGCCTCATGAGGGCAGGGACTTTGTTTTGTTTGCTGCTGTATCCACCAGGCACAGAGCAAGCACATGTTAAGCATGCTGACCGAATGACTAAGTTAAAATGCTCACAGAAGTCTTATTTTATTTGTCATGAAGCAGAACTTGGATCCTTGGAGGTGAGTCCAAGTCTCTAACATGAGGCCAGGCTGGCCTCGAGAGTGTCAGGAGATGCCACTGGACGGGCCCTGGGGAACTTCCAACCCAGTAATTAAGTCATTCTATCAGAAAGGTGACTTTCCTTTATATTTCTGAATTTCTACCTGAGTATCAACAGAAAGTGAACTGCGATGCATTTTTTAGTTATGGCTCTTAATTTGTGGAGACAAGGACTGTCAAGGTAACCGAAAACCCACTGACAACCTTCACTGGGCCAAGAACATCATTTCTCCTGGAGGTTTGTTCCCAAACTTCTTCATATTAATTGCTTTTTATTGGCATTTAACTGTTCTCCATATTCTCACATTTAATGTATCATAAAGCTCAATTTTACTAGAGGAAAGATCAGGGACAAGGAACTGTCCAGTTTAGCCAGACACATGTACCAAATAAACCAACAAATATGCTAATGAATGACTAGTACCGGCTTTTGAAAATGCTTTCCGTTATCAAGTTGCTATGGAATTACAAAAGTAAATGGATAAGAAAGTCCACGACAGCCGGCAAAATTGTACCCAGGTATTACAAAATCCCAGGGCAGTAGTCTGTTTGAATGTTATCTTCGGTCACTGTAATCCAGTTAAGATCGTTTATCTTTATTATCCCCAATAAACATTAGATCAGAAAGGTGCGATTTTGCTCACCAGCTGAAAAATGTCATGTAACTCTGCTGCAGAACTAGTGATTTTAAATTGTTTTCCAAAACCTCCAAGTTAATGCTCTACATCAGTGACTTTCAACCGGTGTGCTGCAAGAATTTTTAAAATGTGCCATACCTGACTATTTAATCAGGGGCACTGACCTCTTTTCCCTTAGATTGTCAAATATAAAAATGACAACAGCCAACACAACAGTAGCCGTCCGGTGTGAATGTCCTGTCTTGAACCATAAATATATAGGTCATATAACACAGTTGCATCTTATTGGTCACAACACATATTAAGGTTGCAGCTGATTGGTTAATTCTTGGTACCAGAAATCCTTATATACAAGTATAGGCACCTGATTTTTAAAAAAGTCACTTTGGAGTAAAAAGGGTAGGTAATTACTATTATTATTATTTTTGTAAATCAATCAAAATTATACCTACTTTTTTGTCAGATGGGCAAAAATACATTTTTTGGTGTGCCGCAGAATTTTAATAATTAGTTTATATGTGCCATTAGATGAAAGAGGTTGAAAATCACTACTCTACATTTACTTTTTTTTTTAAAATATGTTTTATTGATTTTTTACAGAGAGGAAGGGAGAGGGACAGAGAGTCAGAAACATCGATGAGAGAGAAACATCGATCAGCTGCCTCCTGCACGCCCCCCACTGGGGATGTGCCCGCAATCAAGGCACACGCCCTTGACCGGAATCGAACCCGGGACCCTTGAGGCCGCAGGCCAACGCTCTATCCACTGAGCCAAACCGGTTCTGGCACTACTCTACATTTAAATGAGACTAAATGAGAAATAAGAATATTTATAATTAAAGAATTTAAAAGTAATTTTCTTTTCAATTTTTTAAAAGGCCAGGATTATATTCGATCCTGATGATTTAAAAGATCTATTTTGCAAACTTTATAAGGATCAAATGAGACAGATACGTGAAAGGGCTGTAGGTACAGTTATAACTCTTAATAAGACATCCTGTTCATCTGAGAAAGGGAGACAGGGATGTATGTTAAACATTAAAGACTGTGGTAGCAACAAGGGTCAACGTACCAAGTTGGACTTCTTGAAAAAAAACCTGCCAAGAATTACAGCTAGACTTGCAGGTCACAGAAAATCTATTCAAAACCAAGTGCTCGTGTGTGGTGTCATTTCTCTGATGCCTCTGCCCCGTATCTGCCATCTGTGCGCATCTCCTAGAATTACCTGCCGGGTAAGGGCTGCTGGGATTTCCCCAGGCTTCCCGCATGGCCTCGGTCACAGCCTGGACAACCTCTGGCTCCAGGGGGGTGGTTGCGTTATAGTCCATGTAAACCCTCCTGGAGGAAAGAAAGGAGATGGGATGTGGGATTACAGGTGCACCAGGTCTATCACATCAGCAGGAGCAAATAAAGCAAGGGCAGCGAGCCCTCCACCTACACTTCTTCCCACCTGAGTAGGACTGGTGGACCGCAGGGCCTGGACTGCCCACAACTGCTATAAAGGTCAGGCCCAGGCCAGCCTAGGAAGCGGCATGTCCCGAAGGCCCTTCCTTCCCGCTTGCTTTTCTAACTTCACCACTTTTCTGTGAAGGCTGAGGCTGGGGGTGAGCCCGCACCCACCCATTCTTCCCACTCTCCCTCTTCGTCTCCCTCAGGGGGCAGGTCTACCCTGGGGCAGGCCTGCTGCTCTCCCCCTTGAACTTTTGGGTTTCTGTGCCTAGAATGACCACTGCCCCCTGCCTTACTTTTTTTGATCTTTGCTCTAACTTGACCTTCTGGTGAGGCTCTCAGCAGTCACCCACCCCCTCCTTCCCAGCAGTTTCTCCCTAGACCTGTCCTTGTTCCTGTCTGCATCTATGAGAGTAACAGGATGTCAGCTGCAGGGCTCTGCCAGTTCTCCTCACCCTTGGTGGCCAGCACTGAGAACAATGGCCGGAACACAGCAGGGGCTCCGTTTATAAGACGGCAAAGTAAATGTCACAGAAAGGGCACATTCTCAGAAAGATCCTCATCAGTAAAATTTATCTGTGTATCTTCTTACTAATATCAAAAACCTTCAGAAATTTTCGTAACTATATACATTAGGTAATCCGGGCTGATACTAGGAATTATTTTACCTGATTTTTAAATCAACAACAATGTTTAAACCAGTGGTCGGCAAAATGTGGCTCGCGAGCCACACGCGGCTCTTTGGCCCCTTGAGTGTGGCTCTTCCACAAAATACCGACTTCTGCGCACGGGCCACGAAGTTTCAATTGCACTGTCTGTGCGCGCCTGCACGTGGTATTTTGTGGAAGAGCCACACTCAAGGGGCCAAAGAGCTGCATGTGGCTCGCGAGCCACAGTTTGCCGACCACTGGAACCAATCCACACAAAGTTTCAAACAATACTAATCATGGCTATTACACAGGTACTTTGTTTTAGTTTTTAGGAAATAATAATTTTAATCTATGTCAGCATAATTCATGCCCAAACTTATTCAGCTCTGTCAGAGGTTTGGCCCTTCAAGACATCTGTCATTTTCTTCGTGAGCTCTGCACTATCTGAAAAAAAGTAACCTATCCTTTAATGGGTTCAGTTAGCATAAACAATCTAATTCTGTGATCCCTACTTAATAAAGTACAATATATAATCAATGCTGTATCATCTAGAATTGTCAAACTGTTCATGAAAGCTAAAAACACCCTATAAAACAATGAAGCTATTTTATGTAACATGTAATAGGTAGTTGACATGAAGCAAAGCTTAAATATTTAGTCTTCTGAAACTCTAATGTATTTCCATAAGCCTTTTAATCTATAATTTTATAAATATATTTTACCATCATGGAAGCCAGATATGTACTTAGCTTCTCTTTATACATAATTAAAAAATTTAGGAGGGTGTAGGCTATAATTCAGATACACTTTAGTCACAACACCATACAAAGACTTTATAATCAGGAAAGAAGATATTTAACATTATTGCTTAGTCTTATAAAACAGTGAGTTTTAACTTAATTCATACATCTAAACTTATTTATAATTTTTCCTATACTCTTCAATAATACTGCTTGGCAAGTAATATAGGTACTGATATAATTTTTTATTTCTATTGGTTGCAAACGAATTCTAATTTGTTAATCAATGCATATATTCCTTTTTAACTACTTACTACACCTCAGAATTAATCGTTCTACAGAAAGTAACTGCCCCGAGAGCAAAAACATAGCAAAGCATTTTTTCCTTAAAGATTTTCAAGGAAAATCTATAGGAACACAGACTCATGAAAAAACTAATTAAAAATTTGACATTCCATCCTGCCTTACTAACTGTGAAACAGAAAGAGACGTGTACACATGTTAGTTTATATTTCTCTGCTTATCATAATATTATACTAAGAACTACTGTAACTATGTATGAGCTATTTTCCAGCTTCTTCAAGTATGGGACACGCTACAGTTCTATTAGTGAGGAGAAACGAATAATCAATCTTAGGTAACTCAAAAGCAAAATGGGTGGCACAAAAAGATAAACTGACTTTGGGTTTTTTAATATATATCTATCTATATATTTTTATTGATTTCAGAGAGGAAGGGAGAGGGAGAGGGAGAGAGAGAAACATCAATGATGAGAGAGAATCACTAATCAGCTGCCTCCTGCATGCTCCCTACTGGGGATCAAGCCCACAACTTGGGCATGTGCCCTGACAGGAATCGAACAACAACCTCCTGGTTCATTGGTCGACAATCACTGAGCCACCTTGGCCGGGCAGGAGGCAGATACTTTTAATTCCAAATTTGTCATTGGTTTGTCGGGGGCTGGCCTCTTTATTGATTCTGCTGGTTTAGGGGCTTGAATGATGTGCTCCTGAAATTTGAGTATCAACTCAGACAGTTCTTTCTTCTGAGTAGTCTTGATTTAAGGTTTGACTGGCTTAGGTGGCTTTTCATCATTATGTCTACTTTTTGTAAAGCCTACAGTGCTTTAAAAAAATCAGTTGTTCTTCTCACAGCAAGACCAAGTCTTTAATGCATCATGAGAGATGGGAACACCTGGATCAGTGGTTCTCAACCTTCCTTTAATACAGTTCCTCATGTTGTGGTGACCCCCAATTGTTACATATTGAACATAATTAAAGCATAGTGATTAATCATAAAAACAATATGTAATTATATATGTGTTTTCCGATGGTCTTAGGCGACCCCTGTGAAAGGGTCGTTCGACCCCCAAAGGGGTCGCGACCCACAGGCTGAGAACCGCTGACCTGGATGGCATGTGGGGGCAGGGTCAGAGTGGTCTCGACATTGCAGCCCTGGCTGTAGCACAACCAGGCTGTTTCTTTTCCCACCAACACAGTCAGGCCCAAACCCAGAGATGGCAAGACAGTGCGTTTACACGCCCCCTAGTAACCACTGGTCTGACAGCCTGGTTTTTGTTTTGTTTTTTGAACCATGAATGTTTTAATGCAGCATCTTGTCTATAAATTGTTCAGAGTCACCTGACAGGTACAGGGCTTTGGGGCTTTGGGCAGTTTGACCAGCCATCCTTGGATGTTCCAGTATCAGGACACTCCCAGTCCTGCTGTGATGTGAAGCTGCAGGCGCCCCACTTGACTCTCACTTCCTGTAAGTAAGTGTCCCAGAGTTCCTCAAGCTACTAGAGTCAGCTGAGTGGCTGCGGCTTTTCAACCTATCGCCTGGCTCATTTATGGCTTGAATTTCCGAGGAACACTTTGTAGATTACTCTGCTCCATTACCTGCTACTTCCTTAAAGTGCTATCAATATTACGGACAAGCTAAACTCCATTCGTTTCATAACCAAAAGGTAAAAAGGCACCCTGAATCTCCTCTCCACTCCGTCTCCCTAGGGGACATCTTCCCAGCTCCCATTTGTTCTGTCCCAACCAGAGTAGAATGACTAATGAAAGAGATGGTCTGATTTACTCCTCATATTCGGGTAAAGAGGATTACCCAAACAACAAGTATTTAACACATTCCTGAACTGGAGGGCAAAGATTCACAAACAAGAAAATGCCACTTTCGCCCCACCCCACCCCCGCCCTAGTGGTTCCAGCAGGCGGAAGACACCTGTGGAGGACGCCCTTCTCTCCGAGTTCATCCCGACGTTCCCAGGTGCTCAGGCCAGGGGCCTGGGAGGCATCCTTCTTAATCCCTCCTTTCCCAACACCAGCGCATCAGCGGGTCCAGCCTCAGTTCACTCACTTGTGCCACCGCTTCCTCCCTCCTAGATGATCGTAGAGACCCAAAGGCTTTCCTTGCCTCCTCCCCTGCCCAACCCCCATTCCTACTCTCCACAAAGCAGCCCCGATACAATATAATTACATTGCATCACTCCCCTGCTCAAACCTCCAAGATCCGCCACACCTTTAGAATAAATACACCCCCAAGTGCTTCCTGGGCTCCGAGGCGCTGCGAGGCCACGCGCCGCCGGCTGCTCCCACAAGCCCTGCACCCCAGGCGCACGCGACCCGCGCTCCCGCCGGCCCGGATCCAGCAGGCTCGTGTGCGCGCGCCCTCGGGGCCTCAGAAACCGCCGTTCCCCCTCCCCGCGAGCAGAGCGTGCCCAGGCTGGTGCGGCCGACTCCAGGACGTCACCCGGGTTTCAGCGCACTGTCCCTTCCCGGGGCCCTCCCCGGACCACGCCTCGCATCAGCTCGTCCTCCAGCTCTCATCCCTAATCTAGGCCTCCCCGTGGCCAGCCGGCCAGCGCTTCAGCCCCGCGTGGGGCTCCTCCCCGCGAGTGATCAGCGCCCCCCGCTTATAACCTCCCTGGGCGGGACACGCCAACCCCTCGCGCCGCGGCGCCTGGAGAGCTTCCCGGAGGAGGCGGCCGGCGGTTTCCCTCGCCTTTCCCTCTCAGCGCGCACCTCTCTGGCGGGCTCTTCTCTTCGCCGCCGCCGGGCCGACTCGTCACACGCCCCCGCGCATTCCTGCTCGGTGCCGCGGTCGCCTCCATCCCGGTCCCGCCGCGACCCCGCTCCCGTTCACCGGGCCCAGGCGCAGTGCACACCCACCCAGCCCCTGAAGCCCGAACTGTCAGCTCTGAGCTTCACGAGGGGCAGCGGGGTCGCGAGGCCGGGGCGCGTCCGGATTGGCTGAGTTGCGCGCTCCGGGCCAATCCTCACTTCAGCGGCTGGGCGAGGATGAAATACTGATTGGCTGTGCGCGGTCAGGTGACGGCCCTGGGGCGGGGCACCGAGCCCGTCACAGGGGGCGTGGTCCCGACTGCGAAATCCTGGCGGGAACCCCAGCGAGGCCCAGTCTCACCCGTCGCGGGTTGGGGGCGTCTCCCCGGCTTCTCACCCTCCGGGGCCCTGCGCGAGTCCGCCGGCGCCAGCGAGGAGGCGGCGCCCGACACCAGGGCGGCGTGGACCGGGGAGAAGCCGGCAGACGCGGCACGCGGGGTTCGCCTGCGACCGCCCCGCTGGACCGGGCGCCCGGAGCAGGGCCGGGTACGGAAGCCGGCGGGCCACGCTTCTGCGTCCTCGTGCCCGGGGTCTCCTAAAACGTGCTTCCACGGCCCCAGCTGGAGGGGCCTCTGCACAGGTGGCTTCGCGTGGAATTCGGCTCCTTCACTGCGCATGGATTCGAGGGGTCCGGGGTAGAGGCTTGGGACGCAGGGAAGGTGGGTTCAGGACCTACAGGAATGCGGGAGGCCTGGGTGTGGGGCAGGGAGTGCAGAGGCCAGGGGTAACGGAGTGACTCAGAAGACAGCGCCTTCCTTCATCTGGACAGGAACGAAACCTACTCTGGATGTGTTGGTGAGACAGTCAAGTGGCAATGCCAACATTCGTGGACCCATAAACCCTAAGTCAGTTGTGTAAGTGTTAAGGGCAAAGGTCCAGATTTTTGAACTCGAATGGAGCCATGGACTGGCCACCCCTTGCATAACTGTCTCAAAGTTTATTTGCGGACCCCACACGTGCCAGGCACCGCCCTAAGCACTTTCCATGTATTCAAACTGATTTCGATGACACCCTTATTAGGAGGTAGTTATCCCCATTTTATATACAGGAAATTAAGGTACAGAAAAGCATCTTGCCCACGTTCTCATGGGTAGTGATAGAGCCAGAATTTGAATTCAGGAATGTTTTGTTAAGAAGTTGAATTTTAATTGGGCTTTTCAAGGACTTGCCCAAGGGCTGGCCTTTTTGGCTGGAAGCTCATTATCCCAACCCTGGGAGATCAGAAATCAACGATCCCCAGGTTGATGGGGCACACAGACAGGAACCAGAACTGTTACTTTGCCCTGAGTGGGGAGACCCCAAGAAGCCACAAGGCCTGGAAGTCAGGGTCCCATGCCACTGAATTGGAGGGCAAAGACTAGGTGCAGTGGGATGAGCTGGGTGAGCTGTTTAACAAGATGGGGCTTCCCTGGACAGAAAGGGATGGTCCAGTATTGTGGAAATGTCATTTTTAAAAAAATTGATCCCCGATAAAGCATTTTTCTGTCAAATATTTTGAAATTGGAATCAACAGGAACCCCTTTCAGTCTGGTCCATTTAACCACAGGCGCTGGCACCCTTTCTTCCACCTGCATTGGCACCTGTGGCTGCCCTGACAGCCCCTGTGCCAGGACTCCCATAGGGAACTCATGCCCTGGGTCACAGGGCAGAAATCAGGTGTGTGGGCGGGCCTGCTGCTGACCTCCTGACCCACCTGACGGGATGGCCTAGTGCCCGGCCAGTGAGTTCCGGGGACACTGACAAGCTCCAATGACAACTGCAGGAGCTGTGGTGGCTCTGCCTGGACTGGGATGAGGACTACTGTGCCTTCCTGATAGGCCTGCACCACTCAGATGCCACCATACCCTTTATCCAGCCCGACCCTTCCCCCTCTGTGTACCAGACGTGGTCCTGGAACCCCGTCTAATGGGCACAATTCCTGGTCACAAACAGGAAGTATGGCCTAGATTCCCCCCTGCTGACCTCCAGGTCAGATGATACTGTGAATCAAGAAAAGCACACATCAGCCTAGGTAGATGGGAAACCCAGAGGCAAGGAGGCTGTCAAACTGGAGAGTGGCAGGCAGGCAGGCAGTGGACAAAACCATACAGATATTTATTTGCATATGACATCACGGGGCCAAGGGTCTCCTGGGTGTGCTGCCTCTGAAGTGTGCAGACCTGACCGAGCATGGCTGTATGCTGTTCCGATTCTTGCCCTCCACTGCCCAGGAGACCACCTCCACTCGGGCCTGGAACTACAGCAGACTCAGAGGCCACAGGTGTAGTCTCAGTGGCATTAGACATTGTTTGGCTGCTTCCCGAGGGTTCTCCTGTCCCTCAGGAGCAAGGGTCTGGGTCTCTGATAAGCAGCTATAGTCCTTGCACACTAGGTCCTAAGCACATGACCCTCAGAAACACCCGGCCCCACTCCAGCCAGTTCCTCTGGGTCAAATACGACAAAGGGTTCCCTGCCTTTTTTTTTTCTTTTTTTTTTTTTTCCCCAAATCATTGAGCTCCAGCCTCACAGGGTTCTAAACTTCTTTGTCCCACCCAGACCTGAAAGCAAGAGCTGGTTTTCAAGACCCAAATTCTCGTTGCATTTGGACAGAATGAATAATGTCTTTCATATTTTCTTTGTATTTCTCTTCAATAATTGCTTGACCCAACATCTTTCTGTCTGCTCTATACAATGAAAATACAAACTAAAGGAGAATAGAAAAAAATAATTAAAGCATTAAATTGTACAAATTACAAATCTGTTCCAAAATATACTTACATTAAATAAAATACGCATTTCAGTAAGAGATCTACAGTGAATGACTGCATTCTGGGAAGCCTCAGACACTGAGGCAGGGCTGACATTCGTGGGAGGAGATAAGAGACTGCGCATCCAATCACAGTTTGCAGCGGGCTTGGGACCGCCCACCTGCCAGTTCTTGGCAGGTCATTGGCATTGCTGTGCAGGGAAGTGATTTGGGGGAAGGTAAGAAGCAAGCTCCGATTCTGAGTTCATTACAACTTCTCAAGCATTTCCTCAGCCTATACAGTACAGGTTCACAAAGTAAACATGTTAAGGTAAGCAGACAACTCTTTAGAGCCCAAACTCATTTTCTGGCTGTATTTATGCGGAACTCTCTGTCTACAATGGGCAGTCATGAAGAGGTTCCTCCGCAGGACATGTCACAGGACCCAGCAGAGCCAGTGGGTCTGCGGGAGCGCGAGGACTGGGATGGAGGCCCCCTCGAGAGCTGAAGATGACCCTCTAGCACAGTCCACGCTGCAGGCGCCCCTCCTATCATCTGGCGTACCGCTTAATGTAGTCTTCCACTTTGTTCCGGAAGTCCTCCTGTGGAATTCGAGAAGAGCAAGTTAGTGAGGGCAAGTGACAACTCGGACAAGTCGGAGCCACCGAGCCAAGGGCCCACGGAGAGTTCAGCCTTCTGCAGCCAAGGAGGCAGGGCCACCAGAGACCTGTGGGGCTGGTTCCCCTGTGGGTGCCCACTATGTGCAAGACACTGTGCCAGGGGTACGGGGGGCAGAGAGTACGAACAGCAGCTGGAGCAGAAGGGATCCCAAGACCTTTCATTTTGCAGATGGGGAGAGTGAGGCCCATATGGTCAAGGTTAGGACACCCGCACTTGTCCACGGACGGTGCTGCACTCAGAGGCTCCACAGCCCCTAGCAAACTCTCACCAGGTCACTACCACAATGCCCAGAAGCCAACAATACTCCCAGCTCCTCAGGAACCACAGCCCAAGCTCACTGGATGTGAAGTGAAGGCCCCAAGGCACCCTCCACTCAAAGGTGCCTCTGCTTAATCCTAATCCCCTTTGCTCTCATCATCTCACCAGGACAAAGTCCACACCTTCAGAAGACTCTGTGTGCTCAGGCCTCTATGCCTCCCAAATCTCCCTGTCCCCTGTGGGCCCTGCAACCAGACCCCCTGTGTTCAAATCTGGGGCTCTGCCCCTTCCTGGTGAGTCTCTTAGAGAATAAGGGCTAACAAGAGGCCCTCCCTCCTGTAGTTGTCAGGAGAACAAATGTACTCTGGGAAGAGTGTGGGACAATGCCTGGTACCTGGGAGGGCCACTTGGGTTGCAGATACTGTTGATTCACCACTGCCCTCCTACTCAAGTATTGTGGCCCCTGTGCTCTGCCCTGAACACCTGGAGCACATTCCCACCTTGAGGCCTTTGCACTGGCTGTCAGTCTCTGGAACTTTCCTGAGATCCACCTGGCTCACATCACATCTATAGTCACATCTTATCAGAAAGGTCTTCCCTGAACATCCTCCATAAAGTGCAACACCCATCACCCCCACCCCAACACCCCTGGCCCCCAGCCCCACCTTCCATGTTGATGGCTTATCTCTGCTCTGCCTCCTCCCACTAGAATGCACGCTGCACGGGGACAAAGACTGACTGTCCACTGATCCCCCTGGTACTCAAGCGGTCAATCTTGGGATGAACAATGACTACAAGAGAAAGTGAGCAGAGATACGATGATCGTGACTCGACATCAGGATGCAGGTCGGTCTGGGCACATCTAAGATTTCAAGTGGAGGCATCACTGTTTGGCCGACTTTAGGACCATCTGACTGGGGAGAAGTTTATTAATTGCAAACCTGCCCTTTTATCATACAAAGAATAGGAAGCAGCCTTCCAAGAAAGACAGAACGAGAGCCATCTGTATGTGCCCTACTGTTACCACTGTCTTCCCTTGACAAGGCTGAGTCCACAAGCGCTGGAATAATCGCACGCTGATGGGCCCCTGTCAGCAGCAGTGACAAGTGGAGTGAGTACAACATGAACGAAGCCTCCTGAAAAGCTCTGGGCCCAGGAGCAGCCTGCTAGGCTAGTCAGCAGTGGACTAACTGAGGTGTTGCCAGGCAACCCCCAGCCAGGGTGGCCCAGAGGTGGGCAGAGGCAGAGCCATCTCCCACACTGCACCTGTCCTGAAGACCTGTGCTGTCCCAGCCTCCTCCTCAGGTCGCCTGCCAAACCACCCTCCTCTGCCTGACCCTTCAGTTCCACTGTAGAACCCACTGCTCCCTCAAGTGCCTATCGCTAGTTTCCTGAGTCTGCACGGAACACATGCTGGGCACTCCAAGGAATCGGCGTGGTCCCTGCGAGGCTGAACAAGCTGCCAGCCTCCTCCCAGTCACACAGGCCGGCTCCCAGACTCCTGCGCAGA